GTCATGCTTCCATGTAAGTCAAAGAGATCAAATGTAAAACATGGTGCAATTCTATGCTTTTTCCTCAGTAATTCTTTAAATTATTTTTCTTGGAGAGAAACAGACAATTTAGTAGCTTGGCTGACAGCATCAATTTGCCATCTTGTAAGAGAATAATTTTGAAACTGTAGGTTTATGCCCACAGGCACAAAATAATTGAAGAAGAAAGAGGTGTTCTTGGATTCCAAAGGGATGGTCCTGGGTTACTTAACAATTTGGAGCAGATTTGGTGCTTGGTTTGTGGTTTAATTCAGAATCTCATGTATCCCTGGGCTTCCAAGGTGGCTCAAGTGGTAAAGAATCTGCCTGCCAGGAAAAGCAAGAGAAAAGATTCGATCCCTGGGTCAGGAAGATCCCCTGGAGGAGGGCATGGCAATCCACTCCAGTATTCTTGCCTGGACAACTCCATGGACAGAGGGGCCTGTCAGGCTATAGTCCATGGGGTCGCAAAGAGTTGGACATGACTGATCAAATGCATGCTTGCATCCCTTTGTTTCTTTGTTCACTACAGAGCTCTTGAACTCTTCATTAGTTTTTTAGTGTTATTACCATTATACTTTACTACCTAAGTAAAAAGAGAAATTACTAACTTCTTAGCCAAGTTATAAAGAGAATACATACAGGTAAGAGAAAAATATTCTATTTCTCCTCCTATTCTACTTCACATTAACTTTTATTTTTAAACCTTTTGATATGGTCTCAAATTTAAATTGAATAAATCTGTCCTGCTTTATCAGTTTGCTCTGACTTCTCCAATTTCCTGGTCACTTTTTCCACTACTCTATTCCCAGGCATCTGGAACAGCCTATGTATACAGTGTGTGCTCAATATAATTGTTGAATGAATGAATCAAAACCATTCACTTCTGTCACCTACATTCCTGTGTTCTGCAATCTTACTTCTAAATATGCTCTTTCTCACAGGGAACTCTGCTCAATTTTATGTGGTCTGAAAGGGACTGCGTTTGGAGGAAAATGGATACAAGTATGGTTGTGTCTCTCTGCAATCCACCTGATTCTATCACAATATTGTTAATTGGCTATACTCCAACATAAAGATTTTACATAGATACACCACCAAGGGTAAAATAGACAGTTAGTGGGAAGTTGCTAAATAACAGAGGGAGTCCTTCCAGTGAATATTCAGGGTTTCCTTTAGGATTGACTGATGCTGAAGCTGAAGCTCTAGTGCTTTGGCCACCTGATGAGAAGAGTTGACTCATTGGAAAAGACCTTGATGCTGGGAAAGACTGAGGGCAGGAGGAGGGTATGACAGAAGATGAGATGGTTGGATGGCATCACCGACTCAATGGACATGAGTCTGAGTAAACTCCGGGAGATAACAAAGGACAGGGAAGCCTGGCATGCTGCAGTTCACAGAGTTGCAAAGACTTGGACACAACTTAGCAAATGAGCAACAACAGGGAGTCCAGCCCAGTCCTCCCTGGTGACTTAGAGGGCTGGGGTTGGAGGGAGGAACAAAAGTGAGGGGATACATACACACACACACAAATACACACACACACACACACACACGGCTGATATGCATTGTTGTATGGCAGAAACCGACACAACTTTGTAAAGCAATTATCCTCCAATAAATAAAGAAATAAAAATGCTCTTTCTGAGACCTTTTGCAATGGCTTCCCATCTTGTCGCAAAGTTGCCTCTGGACTTCTTAGTTATGATCTGCAGGCTTAAGTGAGTGCCCCTTGGCACCTTGGGTCTCAGTTCCCTGACCAGGGAATGAACCCATATCCCCTCCATAAGGAGGCGGATTCTTAACCGCTGGATTACCAGGGAAGTTCTGGACTTCTTTTATTCATACCTTAGGGTTTTGGGGCATATATGCAGTCACCATCTCAATGGAGATGATACTCATTTCTGCTTTTGCCTTCCAAAGCTTCATGATAATGCTGGCTGAACACCGCTACTTAGCTTTTTCTTCTGATTCATATTTAATAGAATTTAATTTTCCCTCAGCCTTTTTGACTACTTTTTCTTCTAACATTTTACAACCAAATCCAATCAGTTTAAATTTTCTTACTTCATATCATTTCTAAGTGGTAGCACTGGAATCTATTTTGTGTGTTAACTGCTATAGACTGAAACGTGCTCTTCTGTACAATTTGTTCAAGAAAATTCTCCAAAGTAATCTTTCCTTATCACTGGAGCCACACTTCTTCCCCTCTTAAAAATCTTCTAAGTTCTCTTTTGGATAAAGGCTTTCACAACTCAATTATATATTTTTTTTGTTCAATTTATGCTTTTTACTTGAGCAAACACTAATAACTTATCTACCTTCATCAGATTTACTCAGACAACTCTAAAAAACAAAAATATAAAACTATTCTAGCAGAGGGTTGGAAAAACTAGGAATTTGGGATTAACATTAATACACACCACTATATATAAAACTGATAAACAACAAGGACCTACGGTATAGCATAAGCAACTACTAACGTACTCAATATCTTATAATAACCTGGGGGCTTCCCTAGGGGCTCAGATGGTAAACAATCTGCCTGCAATGCAGGAGACCTGGGTTCGATTCCAGGGTCAGAAAGATCCCCTGGAGTAGGAAATGGCTACCCATTCCAGTATTCTTGCCTGGAGAATTCCATGGACAAAGAAGACTGGTGAACTACAGTCCACAGAATCACAAACAATCACATGACTGAGTCACTAACACTTTCACTTCCACTATAATAACCTAACTTGGAAAAAAAAAATTGAGAAAGGCATCTATTTCTGCTTTATTGACTATGCCAAAGTCTTTGACTGTGTGGATCACCACAAACTGTGGAAAACTCTGAAAAAGATGGGAATACCAGACCACCTGATCTGCCTCTTGAGAAACCTGTATGCAGGTCAGGAACAGTTAGAACTGTTAGAACTGGACATGGAAAAACAGACTGGTTCCAAATAGGAAAAGGAGTACGTCAAGGTTGTATATTGTTACCATGCTTATTTAACTTATATGCAGGATACATCATGAGAAATGCCAGGCTGGATGAACCACAAGCTGGAATCAAGA